AGAGAGAGAGAGAGAGAGAGAGAGAGAGAGAGAGAGAGAGAGAGAGAAGGTAGAGGGGCGAAAGGGATTCACGGAGGAGGGAAAACGGTACGATATCCAGAGCGTTTGAAAATCGAGAAGCAAAGGGCAGAGGGCTGAGGAGGAAGAAAGGTTGAAAGGGTAATCGAGGCGGGTGGAAGAGATGAGAGAGGAGAAGATGCAGAAAAAAAAAAATAAAAAGAAATAAAAAAGAAAGAAAGAAAACGCAAAGATAGAAGAACACACCCACATAGACGGTTTAAGAACGATTCTAGCCGCCTATAAGTAATTGTGTCGCGTGTCTTTCGTATCACGTACGAATGCGGCAGAGCTACTAGCCAGCGCGAGGTAAAACCGACGGAGCGAGGCTCTCCCCCAAGCTGATCCTGCGTGCTAAACGAGCCGCTGTACTGCCACTCGCTCCCCCCACCATCACCCCCGCCTCCCCCTTTCGACGCCGCCACTCGGCGTCTGCTTTGCGCTGCTTCCACCGACGCTACTACCCGTCCGTCGGCGTCGTTCCATCCTCCATCGCATCCACCACCAACGGCCGCCCATCCGCTACCTTAACCGTTTTCTTGCTTTCTCCAGTTCCACTCCCACCCATCGCCAGCGCTTCCACTGATGCACGAATCGACGTTCCAGCTGCTGCGCGTACGCGTCTCGCGACTATTCTCGCGGATACGGGTATCGTTTGGCGGGAAACCGGGCTGGGTGAGTGATTAGAGACGTTGTTTAATTCGCAATCGACGTTTCGAAGATTTACCGCCAACCATTTCTTGTTCTCGTAGAATCGTATCGGGGTATGGCACCAGAACTAATTCGAGAGAGAAGTTGAGAACTTTGGGAAACTGGAGCCTTGGAGGGTTTCTGGCACCCATTTGATGCCACATGGACAATTATTACAAACGTTGGTTAATTTCCAATTGACGTTCCGAAGATTTCACAGGAAACCTAATTCAGGAGAAAAGTTTATAATTTGGAGATACTGAGGTCTCAGAAGGTTTTAGATACCTATTTGATGCCACAGAAATAATGATTACAAACGTTGGTTAATTTGCAATCGACGTTTCGAAGATTTCGCATCAACCAATTCTTGTTCTCATAGAATTGTACTGGAGTATAGCAGCAGACCTAATTCAGGAGAAAAGTTTACAATTTGGAGATACTAAGGTCTCAGAAGTTATTAGATATCTGTTCGATGCCACATGGATAATGACGAGTAGGCTTGTTGACCCGAGTAAAGAAAAAGACACCACTGATAGTAGTCCGCTAAGAGAGATACTGGTTTGTCTGGAAAGTCCATCCCGATTGTCGGTAGGTGGTACAGGTCTGAATATATCGGAATGATTGAGGACAAATAACACGTGTACATCCCTTAAAAGGTGGAAAAATGATGGAACAAAATAGTACTTACGTAATTTAATAAATATATCTCAAAATTCAAATGTGCCTTTGAATTTTTTTTTTTAAATTGCCACGAACTTTCTGGAGAACCCAATATTATGTTCATTCAATTCCGCCTACTGAGGATATTGAAAGCATTTTTGAAGATACTAACACCGAATATGTCCGAAGGCAGATAGCCTGGTACCATTTGACTTTCTAAGGAATTGAAAAGTCAAGTGCTCAATAGCTTCGACGTAAGCCATGCAATCTCGTGAACAGACAGTAGACAATGACCAGTGTCTTGCAAATCCATAGTTATTGAGACATTGAATAAGATGCATAATAGTTTGCAGTTTCATGCGCTGTAGAACAGGAGTATGTTGAAGAATGAAATGGCGGGACTGTCGTATGCAAAATTCTACTTCTGCGAATCTTATCTGTAAAAGTATTTTATAACATCCATCGTTCCATCCTTCATCGCAAGGATTCTTGTACTCCATCGTATCCACTACTAACGGCGCCCATTTTCTTGCTTTTTCCAGTTCTCCTTCTACCCTTCACTAGCGTTTCCACTGATACAAGCATCGTTTTTTGCGGGAAATCCTGAGTAGAACGAAAAGTGTTTAGAAACATTGTTTAATTTGCATTTGACGTTCGAAGAGTTAACCTTTGAGTGCTGAATACCCTCGATCGGAATTCTTCTTTAACCAATCAGCTATGATTGACGAGTATACTTGTCATGGAGAAAAGGCAGTATCTTGCAGTAAAGGCAGTAAAATTTAGTTACCATTTGTTATTTAAGAGTATGTTTCACATATTAATTTGAGTAGCAGAAGTATAAGTAACATGAATTTTTGGGACGACCTAATCTACCTAGTCTTTGCGATCCAATATTAGTCTGTGTTTTTGTGTGTCGTTACTTGATTCTCATGACACACATAGGTGCGCACAATCTGTCTTTCACAACCTGTCTGAAAAGGGGACGCCACAGCCGACTGGTTAACTAATTATTTAATCGCAACGACAGAATACGAAACACATATTAACTTGAAAATTAATGAATCTAAATATTCAAACTTGGTAGATACAACAAAAAAAGATGTTTAAAACACTGATAATTGTACCTCAAACAAGAGATCGGAAAGATTGTCAAACGCATATATGCGCCCATAGAACGCAAAGGGTCGCTCTCCTCATTTCTTGTTCCTGATTACGAGAGTGATTTTCTAGTGGCGATCGTTTGAGGTGTCGAACGTAGTTCTAGTATCCCAGATCAGTCCTCGAAGAAGTCATGGCCAAGCAAGTGGTCCACCTCTTCGTGGTTCCCGTCGTGAGTACCCCTGCTGAGGGCAACAAAGAGCCACCGTTGCAAAGAAGAGTATAAATCACCTGATGATGTCGTGGATAGCACCAAGAGAAAGAAGTCCACCAAAGTCCTTAAGATGTTCAATACTGGAGTCGAAATGGTATCTTTCACAACCTGTCTCAATGAATCGAAGTTAGATGAGTCGGATAACGTAGAGAGGGCTACATATATCGATCGTTTGGTTCGCCAAACGGGGTGGAATAAAATCAGTTCGGTGGTTCTTAGACCTTGGGTGTAATAGGCTTAGTTCCATCCACGCATTTTCTTGTCTTCTTGTTCTGGTTAAATTGTATTAGAGAATCCAGTAGTTCTGTTTGCCCGCCGAAGAGATTTATTACTTATCGTAATAACTTTTTGCGCGAAAATTGCATTTAATAAAGTTCTAGCAATGTTTATTATCTGGAAATGTGAAGTTAATCCGCACCGGAATTCAAATGGATATTTCTTAATGGTGAGAACTCTAGGACTCTTCGGCAGGCAAATAGAACTCTTTTAATAATTTTTTTTTTTTTTATAAATGTAGGGCCAATTTCACAGACCCGGAACAATGTAACTTCTAATCCACCTTGTAGCAGTTCCAAGGAAATTCTATCACGAGGGGAGGTAGAATTCATTGTAACGTGCGCCTTCCCTAGACGTATGTACAAGAACTAGGGCGAGGTAAGTCCTCGAACGTTGATTGCAAATGAAACAACGTCTCTAATCCTTCTCTGCTGTATCAATGGGATAGTTACCGACGCGTACGCGCACCCACTGAAACGTCGATGCGTTGCTGGAGTCACTGGCGAAGGGTGGAAGGAAAACTGGAGAAAGCACGAAAACTGTTAACGTAACGGATGGGGATCATTGGTGGTGGTCACGATGGTGATAGAGCGCTGGCGAAGGAAGTAGTTTCATTGTAGAGAACAAATGGAGACAGGGACATTCTATTTCTACAACTTGGATCTACGGAAAAAGAATTTTGTTTAGTAAACGTTGTGCCATGTAGTAGTTTCTTGTAGTGTTCGTAAGACGTGGCTTTTCTCATTCCTTTAAGAACAAGATCCCATTCTTTAGCAGTACGAAACTCCAAACTGTTACGTATTCTAAACAATGTCGTCCAACTCTCGCCAACTATGGGGCTGAAAGTCGCTGCCCATTGTTTAGTGCCCGTCCAGAGAATACATAGCGTCTGTCACACCCATTCAGTCCTTGACTCCTGAACCTTTAGAAACCTAAGTTCGGCTAGGATATATCCCCCAGACATTTTCAAAGTACTTACGTAGACTTAAATTGCCATCAGTTATCTCAACATGGAGTATGTTTTAATTCTAAGCTTAGGAACTATGATTCGACTTGAAATAATTCGCCTTCTCGACTTTATCCAAGATCAGCCATTTAACTATCGAGGCGAACACAACTATCAACCTTTTGCACTCGGAGCCATTTCGTTACAGAATGTGCAAACAGAAATTATGACGTATTACGTAATGTAACTTATAAAGCATGTAATTTATTGTAATGATACTTGAACTAATTTGAATCTTTAGACATTGAGGAACATATTTATGTCAAAAGTCATAGATATGAATTGATAGTTTCTATATTTTAAGTTCCAATCCTAGGCTTCCTTGTTTATCTTCACAAATTGCACCATGTCATATAAAGTGTGTTCCCACATTTCACTTTCTTATACGAATGCTTCTTGTAGTTTTTGTAAGCTGCAGACTACGTTCTTTTTCCATGTAACACAAAATCATATTTGTTATATATGCTAGAATTTCGTTAAGCTTAGTAATAATGACACGAGAGAAAATATCTTGACGACTGGCAGTGACTAAAGATTGGTGAATTTTCAAGTAGTCATCTTTTGTGACTCGGATAACGACGAGAGGGCTAATTATTCCGATTCGAAACCCCTTTGTGCTGGCGCATTAGGGGACAAAGTACACTTATAGGTCGTGATCTTCAAATCAAGGAGATTATCGACGAAAGCCTCGGTACTCCTGCGTGCTATATGCGGAACTTAAGCTTATTGTTCTCATAGGTATTAACGTCAACGAAATTTGAGAACATTTTGGAGACACATGGCCGGACATTGTTTTACTATCCAAAGGTTTATGGCTGGGTCAAGGGCTAAATAGGTTTGGCGCGAGCCACGCATTCTCATGGACAAGCGTTGAACAATCGCGACTTGCAGTCGCGCAGTTAGTGAGTGTTAGGTGACATTGTTTAGGAAACGCAGTAGTATGAAGTTTCCTGCTGCTCAAGAATGGGGTCTTGTTCTCACAGGATCTGGCCATGGAGCAGAGGAGACAGCCTTACGATAAGAGGACCTTAAGTTACCTTACGATAGGGAACTATGAGAAACTGCATGATAATCCTAGTCAGTATATAGCTAAAACTGATTATACAGTAGTGTACTTCTTGCAGTAGTAAAGAAAACTAAAGGCAAAAGAAGTTACGTTAAATTATGAGAATCGATTGTACAGTGTGTCGCGTATGGTGGTACAAGGGAGTAGGGGGTGATTCTACATAAAATAATTGCATGGAAAACGTAGAATAAATATTTTTCATACGACGTTTTATTTTCGAAAAAAATAAGTTTGAAAATTTGTCGAGTACGCATGCATTTGGACCAGCTTCATCTCGACGGATTTCATTGTACAACACCTCTATTCTTGTTCGTAAACGTTGCCAATAGTTCGATTAACAGATTTCCAGAATTCGTCTAATTTATGAACAGTTGGAAGTGATGTCCACCTTGTTGCAAACATAACTGTGCTCTCCTTATTAAATTGCATCGAACGTTCTCTAATGTGTCGTTGTGCAATTTTAATTTTTCAAACGCTATAATAATATTTTGTCCTAATTGTTCAACCTTCGTCATGTCACTACTATACACAATCGACTCAACTTGACTCCACAAATAAAAATCTAAAAGTGATCGGTTCGAAGGTTGTGGCGGCCAAGGTATTTTCCAATTGCGGCCGATCTAGCAGTGATAATTTCATTTAACCTTTTCGGTGCTCTGCGCGAGTATACTCGTCAAATTATTTTGTTCTTGTCGTGCTCAAGACAAGTTAAATCGTATGAGCTTTTTCAATAGGAATGTCCAACCATTTGGTCAGCGTACGACGACAAAATAGTCAAGCAACGCTTTTCTTCCGGCTTGATTTACAAATTTTTAGATTCCAAATCGAAAACGTATTTTTATCAAAATAAAACATAGCCTATGGTACTCAGGGATAGTGTAGCTTTCTATTACTAGAAAAATTTTTGAAATCGGTT